AGGTTACATTTAGATCCTCAGTTAGGTGATTTACTGATTTTTGTACTCCGGCGTCCTTGGGTAGGTGGAGGGAGTCTGGAAAGGCATCTAGGAATCTTTGAGTTGCCCAAGAATGTATAGCACGGCTTTTGATGATTCTTGGTTGGGGTCGGAGCAGATTATTTGTTGTGATTGCAAACATAATAAGATGGTGGTCCGATAGCCCAGGATTATGAGGAAAAACATTTAGATCCACAATATTTATTCCACGGGACAAAACTAGATCCAGGGTATGACTGTGGCAATGAGTAGGTCCGGAGACATGTTGGACAAAACCCACTGAGTCGATGTTGGCCCCGAAAGCCTTTTGGAGTGGGTCTGTGGACTTTTCCATGTAGATATTGAAGTCACCAAACATTTGAATATTATCTGCCATGACTACAAGGTCCGATAGGAATTCAGGGAACTCAGTGAGGAATGCTGTATACGGCCCAGGAGGCCTGTAAACAGTAGCTATAAAAAAGTGATTGAGTAGGCTGCATAGATTTCATGACTAGAAGCTCGAAAGATGAAAACACAGTCATTTTATTTGTATATAAATTGAAATTTGCCTTTGTAAATGTTAGCAACACCCGCATATGTGGGATGCGCAGGGGAAATGGTCACTAGTGTAACCAGGAGGAGAGGCCTCATTTAACACAGTAAATTCATCAGGCTTGAGCCATGTTTCAGTCAGGCCAATCACATGAAGGTTATGATCAGTGATTAGTTAACTGATTATGACTGCCTTGGAAGTGAGGCAACTAACATTAAGTAGCCCTATTTTGAGATGAGATATTATCACAATCTCTTTCAATAATGACAGGAATGGAGGAGGTCTTTATTCCAGTGAGATTGCTAAGGCGAACACCGCTATGTTTAGTTTTGCCCGACCTAGATCGAGGCACAGACACGGTCTCAATGGGGATAGCTGAGCTGACTACACTGACTGTGCTAGTGGCAGACTCCACTAAGCTGGCAGGCTGGCTAACAGCCTGCTGCCTGGCCTGCACCCTATCTCATTGTGGAGCGAGAGGAGTTAGAGCCCTGTCTATGTTGATAAGATGAGAGCACCCATCCAGCTAGGATGGAGTCCATCACTCCTCAGCCAGGCTTGGTCCTGTTTGTGGGTGAGTCGCAGAAATAGGGCCAATTATCTACAAGTTCAAAAATCTCTGAGTAGTAGACATTATTTACTATTTTACACCTGGGGTTGCTATACATTACTTTTACCCATTGAATAAGAGACTCAACAACAACAACAAATAATACAGGCATTTATATATTAATTCCAGTCGTACTTTATCAAAGGCCTTTTCAAAATCCAATATGGTAGTGTTGTGGTTTGTACGGGGTTTGCCTCACCCCTAGAGAGAACTCTCACCCTCCCTCAAACCAAAATACCATTCTCTTGCTAGGCCACATAGTAAGAGGTCATTAAAAAATACATATTAATTACAATACAAGACAATTCAATGTATCTGAATGGAGTATGTCCCAATATGTTGATATGTACACCACCTGATCATTGAATTGATTTGTCATTGAATGTTTAACATCAAATTTGAGTAGCTGATTTGGTTTTTCTTGGTGCCAAGATTATGTTTAGTTTAAAGTCGGATCTCTAACCTTATCATTATTCCTATTAAGTGGTTGGAATCGGAAAGGTGCCACAAGTTCCAGTCAAGTCAGAAGGTGGTTTTTAAACCTATGTCTCCACACCATCAGTGCGTGGGCAGAGAGATGTGTGGCAAGGTACAGAATATGGGGGAGGGGGGGATATTTCTGATGTCAGATAGTGTGACAATAGGAAGCCATCCCTAGTTTTCTCCTGACTCAGACAGGAGAGTTGTAAGTAGGCCTACACTGCAAGCTGTCCATATCTCATGTCTATCTGGTCTCCACTATAGTACTTTTCCACTAAGCTTGTTTGCTTGCACGCCAGTGTGTGTGTGTGTGTGTCTGTGTGTGTGTGTGTGTGTGTGTGAGTGCATATGCGGGAAACTTCAAAGATGACAGATTGTGTGATGATAGGAGTTCTGTAATAGATTTCCGCTCACAACTCATCTATTTCTTGAACCCATCACGTAAGCATATCTATCAACACAGACCTCACCATGAGATATATCCACTGATAAAGAAGATAGAGCCATGGGACGTGGAAGGATAATACCACATCACGGTGTGTGAAATTCCCAAACAATAGAGGGAGCTGCTGTGTTCACTTCTTAGATCAACCCATCGTTAGAATATCTCAAGATTTAATCTAATTATTCCAAATACGTGGGAGATCAAAATGTTACCTTGAAACGCCGTCCCCTCCCCCACATACCCACCTGTTTTTCCCCCTTGCCATAATGCAATGATGAGCAAGCAGAGACAGAGGATGTCTCCCAAATGGCACCCTATTCCCTATATCGTGCACTTGTTTAGACCATAGAGCTATGGCTCCTGGTCAAAAGTAGTGCACTATATTGGGAAT